CACATCAGGAGAGTAAACTGCCTGTCAGAAATCATAGCACGTCAGCTGGCTTAACCGCGGCTTGTGTACTGCATCATCACTGTGTCTGTCACGCAACTCTGTTGCCCTTTTGGGCTTGAACTGATGGTAAAACTAACAGAATTATTAACTGTCTTGATATTTACTTTGAAAGCTGACGCTCGCGATTATGGTAAGGGGCGTTACATTTCCGACGCGTGCTTGTGGTGTTCGGCCAATCACAATGCACTGGGTCAGCTGGCCAATCAGAGCAGACTGCGCTTGTCAAAGGAGGGGGCTTTGTTGAAAACAACGTGTTTGAGAGAGGCGGGGCATAGAGGACCTACAATAATGTACAGTATTTGAAAAATAAGGTGTTTTTTGAACATTAAAGCATGTCAACATATTCTGTTACACCAAATACACAAAATAATGATCTTTAAAATACCATCATATGACCCCTTTAAGATGTTTTGCTGGCCTTCTGGTCTCCCATGCTGGTCTCTTTGCTGGTTTTAGATGGGTTTTGGAGACCTAGTCAGACTTGGAGATCAGATGAATCATTTTAAACAGTTTCATTTTATTTTTTATTTATTTATTTTTTACAGCTGGTAGTCACTGCAGTTGTATTGTAGAAACATTGATATTTCAGTGGAAGCTGCTTACCGTGATACATTTTTCAAGGGTAACAATCAACCTGGTCAATGTAAGCAGTATTAAAGCTACTGTTGTTCTAAATATCAGCTCGGCTGTGATTTGGATGCACTTCATAATTTAACAGTTTAATGTACATTTCAGATGAAAATTGGCCCGATAGTTTATATATATATATATATTCTTTGCTGACTGCTAGATTATTCCTTTATTTCTCAGTGCTGTCGAATACTCTGTCATTTCAATCAGGAATGAGGAATGACCACCAACGCGAAGTTCTGTGGTCCAAGTATCAACTCACTAGATACTACTTTAACACACAAAAACAGCATGCAGGGTAATAACCATCCAATGAGCATAAACATTACATCATCAAGAGATAAAATGTATATAATGAGAATAATAATTTTTGAAAAACAACCAATGTTTTGTGGCCAGGATACTCCCAGTTCTCTGCATCACATCCTATTTTCAGTCTTACACAGACATATACAAACTACGTGAGAGCCTATTTCTTACACCAACAAAAATAGTTCAAAGTAATACTTTATTTGTCAAACAAACAAACTGACAGCTGGTCTGTAAAAACATATGAGAGGAAGTGTGAGAGAAACCTCAGTCCAAGCGATCAAGCGACAGAAAACGCAATCAAATTTGAGGGCTGAAATGAATCGTTGTATAATTATCAATGAGTAAATAGAAATATTAGGACTCTTTCTTGTCATGACAGGTTAATGAGCTGGATTGTTCTTCCGCAGACCTCTATGCTGACAGTCCTCCTACGTCCGAGTCTGAGGTAGGATGAGAGTCAGTTGTGTTCAGCATTTGAGACATTTCTTTGTTGATGTGCTTGTTTGTTTGCGAGACATTTGATTCTAGACCTGAGCTTGTGTGCTTTTTATGATGGCAGGAGGCTCATTATTTACAGTCCTATTCGAAGAAGGAGCTCATTGCCATGGTCTTATGCATGCAGAGGGAAATGGAGGACTTGAAGGAACAACTTAGGTGCCTTACAGGTCAATAGTGTTTTATTCTGTTCGGTATTTTGATTTATTGAATTGTACAAATCAAATCTTCACATTTGATTTACTTGATACAGCATGTGGAAAGCTAGCAAGAAACCTGGAAGTGCTGATTGAGAAGACCCAGATGTGGTCAAATGGGAACAACGGGACCTCTCTCGGGACCCCGGTTTCTCAAGGCACGGCGCAGGCACCTGCCGAGGCGGATGCTGTGATACCAGATGTACGTTCTCCTCCAACCATTATGAATGGGCAATGGTTGAATCAGGGTCCAGGACCACAGAAACCTCATGAGGCCACTCAGAATGCTCAGAGGGATGGGCTCTTCACAGAGGTAGTCTATAAGCGTTTAAGACATTATAAGACATTATAGTCAGAGGTTGCGCAACAAACAATCATTATTCGTAATTGGGTCATTATTCGTTCAACCACTTGGGTTGAACATTTTCTGTCATGCTCTAGTCTAATTTCATCCTACTATGTAAATAATTGTAGTTGTAAATAAAATATATTGGGAGTATGTTTTAAAAGAAAATAATATTTCAGTATTTTTACTTTAAAATGTCATGTTTAATTCAATAATTTATTTGTAATTATTTGTGAAACTTACCAGCAATTTCTGAGTGTTTAAAAGTAAAAGTAATTTAAAAGTAATCCTACACCATTTTTTTTTCAGTGTACAGGGTGTTTTTATCTTATGCTTTTTCTATGGTCTATTGTTCTTTTCTCTGTTGTTACCTTGTTGTGGTTTTTAAATAGGGAAATTAGTTTGGCTGTTCTGCTCTGTAACTTGCAAAAAATAGTCTTATAAACCAGTATCCAAAAAATTGCTATACTATGTTTTCATGTCTTATCAAGCTATATACAGTATACTGTATATATAATTATATATATATATATATACTGTATATAATTTAACATACAGTTCAGATAGACAGCAATAATAATTGTATTGTGTTCATGAGGCCACTCAGAATGCTCAGAGGGATGGGCTCTTCACAGAGGTAGTCTATAAGCGTTTAAGACATTATAAGACATTATAGTCAGAGGTTGCGCAACAAACAATCATTATTCGTAATTGGGTCATTATTCGTTCAACCACTTGGGTTGAACATTTTCTGTCATGCTCTAGTCTAATTTCATCCTACTATGTAAATAATTGTAGTTGTAAATAAAATATATTGGAGTATGTTTTAAAAGAAAATAATATTTCAGTATTTTTACTTTAAAATGTCATGTTTAATTCAATAATTTATTTGTAATTATTTGTGAAACTTACCAGCAATTTCTGAGTGTTTAAAAGTAAAATATGTTTAGATATTAATGATGTGTTCCTGTGAACGTCTGTTTTTTTTATATACTTTGTATTTAACAGATGTAGGACTTCAGGACGTACCATTGTGCGAGAAGCGTAATAGGCTGTGACTATTATTTACATTGTACATTTTCAATGTATTTCTTATTTGACGATGTTCTTTGGTCTATATGACAACAGCTTTATGTATGTCGTTTTTTTGTTATTAAATGCTGAAAACGCATGTGTGCTTACTGGTATTAGCTTTTGAAATATTTTTTGGGTTTTCTTGTTCAATCTGGTTTTTGATTATTACAATGCTGAATTTTTAGCAGCCATTACTCCAGTCTTTAGTGTCACATGATCCTTCAGAAATCATTCTAATGTATGCTGATTTGGGGTCGCACATTTCTTATCAATGTTAAAAACAGTTGTGCTGCTTAATACTTTTGTGGAAACCATGAAAGTTTTTTTTTTCAGGATTTGTTGATGAACAGATCATTTTGAAAGATGTAAAGTCTTTACTGTCACTTTTGATCAGTTTAATGTGTCCTTGCTGAAAAAGAAAAAAAGTATTACTTTCTTAAAAATCTTAATGACCCCAAACATTTTAACAGAAGAGTGTTTAAAAAAACACCACAAATAAGAGTAAAATGCATCAACTGTCTGTATCGCCCCTCTTAAAATGGTGTTTTGGCATATTCCACCTCAGAGGTTTGACCTTATATTCTATTTCAACTAAAATCATCATGATCTGTTGACATAACATACATTTTAAAATTAATTTTAATTACCAAAAATTTAATATTTAGTTGTGCCCCACATTTGCATGCAACCATGTTATACTGCATTAATTTAGCAATTTTTGAGTGCTTTCATCAAAATCAGCCTTAAAACTAGTAACCCTAGTTAGTTAGTGTGTGTATATATATATATATATATATATATGATATGATATGACATGAAAATGTGAAAATAATGCATATGTTAATCGGTATCAACAAACCAACATTTTGTTTCAAACGTAAAAAGTCACCCCTGCTGATTTAGGTAAAATTTGCTCTGCTAGAATGTAGTTTTTAAATCATTGATAATTCAGCAATTTAATAATCCATTTATTATTTTTAAATTAAGTTTGTTACTGTATTGTACATGTTGTTTGCAAAAATGTAAATTTTCTGACTGTCTTTAAAAGTTTTGATAGCCTATCCATGGAAGGAGCAACATGTGTTTCTTTACAAAAATTAGGTTTAGCAATTGTATATTTAAATGTTGGCCTCTTAAGACAGTTCATTTACTGAATTCAGCACTTCAGACTAATGAGGCCAGCTGTGTAAGCGCAAGTTATTTACAGCCTTCTTTGAATATTCCACCATAAAAAGGAATCACCACAAAACAATTACCATCCCAATTTAAATGGTAAAAATATATTTATGAAATTATACATCTGTGCAGTATGTAAATACTCTTCCTGGTCACACATGAACTCCCATGAGGTTGACAGGCCGGTTGTTGTATCTTTTTGAGATGTCAGCTTCGATCTGTGTGTGAGAGAGACAGACAGATAAAGAGGAAGCTTTTTTCATATTCTCAGCCAGCCCAGGATTTAGTTTTTAATAAATGTTATGTCCACCATGACGTTTAACCACATTAGTTAAAACTTTTTTTTTTAGCTCTATTAAACTCATTTCCTTTTATATTTAAGACTCTGCCAAGCATCTGCTCCTTTTGCAGTGGGTAGAGTGTGAACGGGGATCTGAAGATTTGCTGTGGTGCCATTTTCACTTTTGCAGAGAAAGGAAAGTAAACGAAAGAGGAAGTTTTCATATGCTGCTATAATAGGACAAATGTATTATGATCAGTGTTGGGCAGTAACGCATTACTTTGTAACGCGTTACTGTAATTTGATTACTTTTTTAGTAACGGAGTAATTTAACGCTTTATAATTTTCAAAATAGTAATTAGAGTTTGTGAGTTCATTAAAGACTGTTTGTTTAAGCATCTCCAAGTCAAAAATATTTTTGGTGGATGTTTCTGTTCCTTTTTAATATTTCAATTATTCGCAAACAATGGCAATAGTGAATACCTGCAAAAGCAACAATGTATGCGTAACAGTCAAACAAAAAGAAATAAGTTTGTACTGTTATTTATTTACATGAGCCAGAGAGCAAATGTTTGTTGTCCTCATTCTCTGGCATATCCTGAATGGCAGCACTGATTTTCTCTCTAATTGTTGTAACTGCACTTTGCCATTTCAGCGTGCAGTGCCTCTGGTCCACCAACCAGTCTGAATGATAGAGACAAAAGCAAAACATTAAATAGATCTTTGTGCAAGATCTAAACTACTCAGTATAGAAGTCAAGCTACAGCACTTCACACAATATGTTTAAGAATTGTATAACGTTATACATAAATGACTGTAAAGCTGGTTTACCTAAAAGTTTACTGGTTTGGATGTCAATTGGGAGATTCTGGATGCTCTGATAAAACAGATTTCAATAACAAAGGTAAATACATTGTAATAACACTCACGGCAATGTTTTGCACATTATTATGGTCTTATGATATTAATGGAAAGACAATGAAAAGTGCAGGTGTAAGTCACGCCAAGTAAATAATGCAGACTTTATATTAATACAAATACGGAACTATGCAATGATACACAATTATATTCTTTGAAATGTTTTTAACAGCTTGTCAATGTCTACAAGAATATTGATTTTTATTTACACAAGGAGTGCAAGACTCAAAACCCGGTGACACTTAATTTCAACCAAAGAATGTTTTGTTTTACCTCCATTGCAACCGTGGTTATCGTTATTTTGTTAAAATAACTAAAGCGGTTCCATGCTCTTACATCGAGCCGATGAGATGTAGCTCCAGCTCCAGACCTATATATATATATATATATATATACACACACTTTGTTTACAGTTCCACTTACACGTACATGCACAACTGACCAGTCAGCACACGCGACACTGCTGGGTCACACGCGCCGCCTGCTGAAAGACCAATGAACTACACGAATGGAAGAACCGTTAATCACTTCCATGTAACGTCAAAATAAAAGTCACTACAAATCGCTTGTAGCAAAGTTACTCTGATTTGTCTTTTACAGTCACGTGTGTTCCGTGAACCCAAACATTTCTGGAATTCACTGTAAATTGACAAAAAAGACAAAAAAAAAAAGTTGTGGATACCCCCCCATGTCAATTATTAATTAATTAATCCTTGTAATAGATTGGCTAAAAGAAGAAGAGTGGAGAGGCTAAAAAAACTACTCTGAAAAGCTGAGAAAAGAGCTTTCAGCCAACATTCCGGCGTCAGTGTGGACCGGTCTGAGGAACTTCACCATGTACAAGACACCACCCCCACAGTTTGTGGAGAATCAACAACTGGCTGACTATCTGAATGTGTTTTACAGCAGATTTGAAAAGGCCAGTCTACCACCCCCCATCCGCTCTGATCTGCACTTCACACATTCACCTACCACCCCTGCAACCCCCCTCCCCCACCATTCAACCTGCGCTTAAGGTCTGTGTAGAGTCAAGTCAAGTCAAGTCACCTTTATTTATATAGCGCTTTTAACAATACAGATTGTGACAAAGCAACTGAACAGCATTAATTAGGAAAATAGTGTCAATAATGCAAAATGACAATAGTAAACACTCATTTTTCAGTTAATGAGTATCATCGGCATAACAGTGGAAACTAATCCCGTATTTCCTAATAATATTACCAAGTGGCAACATGTATATCGAAAATAGCAGAGGACCTAGGACAGATCCTTGTGGCACTCCATATTTTACTGGTGATATTTGAGATGACTCCCCATTTAAATGAACAATGTGGTAGCGATCGGACAGGTAGGATCTAAACCATCTTAAAGCCTGCCCTTGGATACCTGTATAGTTTTGTAATCGATCTATGAGTATGTCATGATCTATAGTATCGAATGCAGCACTAAGGTCAAGTAAAACTAGCAATGAGACACAGCCTTGGTCTGACGCAAGAAGCAAGTCATTTGTAATTTTAACAAGTGCAGTTTCTGTGCTATGGTGGGGCCTGAAGCCTGACTGAAATTCTTCATAGAGATCATTTTTTTGCAGGAAGGAGCACAATTGAGCAGACACAACTTTTTCTAAAATTTTAGACATAAAAGGAAGATTTGAGATGGGTCTGTAATTTGCCAGTTCACTAGGATCTAGTTGTGGTTTCTTAATAAGAGGCTTAATGACCGCCAGTTTGAATGTTTTTGGGACGTGACCTAAAGACAACGACGAGTTAATAATATTGAGAAGCGGTTCTTCTGCTACAGGTAACAACTCTTTCAGTAATTTAGTGGGTACAGGATCTAACAGGCATGTTGTTGGTTTAGATGCAGTTATAAGTTTATTTAGCTCTTCCTGTCCTATAGCTGTAAAGCACTGCAGTTTATCTTTTGGTGCGATGAATGAAGCTGAAGTATTATACGCTGTAGAATCTACATTTTTTATTGTATTTCTGATGTTATCTATTTTATCAGTGAAGAAATTCATAAAGTCATTACTATTAAACTGTGCGGGAATATTTAGATCGGGTGGCGTCTGGTTATTTGTTAATCTAGCCACTGTGCTAAATAAAAACCTAGGATTGTTTTGGTTATTTTCTATGAGTTTGTGGATATGCTCGGCCCTGGCAGCTTTTAGAGCCTGTCTATAGCTGGACATACTGTTTTTCCACGCAATTCTAAAAACTTCCAAGTTAGTTTTTCTCCATTTGTGCTCAAGACTACGAGTTTTTTTCTTGAGAGAACGGGTGTTACTGTTGTACCATGGCGCAGTATGTTTTTCTCTAACCTTTTTCAATTTGATGGGGGCAACAGCTTCTAATGTATTAGAGAAGATAGTGCCCATGTTGCTAGTTATTTCGTCTAGTTCATGTGTACTTATTGGTACACAGAGCAGTTGAGATAAATCAGGCAGGTTATTTGTGAATCTGTCTTTGGTGGCTGGAACAATAGTTCTGCCCGGACGATAACGCGGAGCCATATAGTTAATATTAGTAATACGCAGCATGCACGATACAAGGAAATGGTCAGTAACATCATCGCTTTGAGGTATGATATCTATATCAGTAAGATCAATTCCATGCGATATAATTAAATCTAGCGTAATCTAGGAAAGCTTCAGGCCCAGATGGTGTTTCATCTGCCTGTTTAAAAGTCTGCGCTGACCAACTGCCCCCCATCTTCACACAGATCTTCAACAGATCATTGGAGCTGTGTGAAGGTCCCTGCTGCTTCAAACGCTCCACCATCATTCCGGTCCCCAAAAAGCCCCAAATCACTGGACTTAATGACTACAGACCTGTTGCTCTTCACTTGAGAGACTGGTCCTGGTCTACCTGAAGGACATCACTGGACCCTTGCTGGATCCTCTCCAGTTTGCCTACAGAGTGAACCGGTCTGTGGATGATGCAGTCAACATGGGACTGCATTACATCCTGCAACACCTCGACAAACCTGGGAATTACGCAAGGATCCTATTTGTGGACTTCAGTTTGGCCTTCAATACCATCATTCCTCACCTTCTCTCAGACAAACTCACATAGCTCTCTGTGCCCACCTCCATCTGAACCCCCCTGCACTCCCCCCACTCACCATCATGAACAGTACTGTGGCTGCAGATTCATTCAGGTTCCTGGGATATATATATATATATATATATATATATATATATATAAATATAAACAATATTGCTATATATACAAAAGGATATGGACAGATTAAAACTGCCCCAAATTAGACTGCCTTTATTTACTCTATTGCAATAGTTTCTCTGCAATCTGTCTTGATTTGGGAAGGTGAGTATACCTTTTTGGTTGACCATGCAAATGTTAAACCAACTTCACGCTCCCATGAGGTCGTTCACTTGGATTGCCCTCCCTCTTTCGATCACATGGCTGTAACATTTACTCATGTTGCACTGGGTTGGACCTAATGTTCAACTTGGACTGAAACAGTGTGTTTGTGTGAGGCTGTATAGGCTGCTGCCTGAGCAGGGGAGGGAGATAAAACAAGACTGATAAAGAGCGAGGGAGTAAGGGAGGGACCGAGAGAGAGGAAGGGGGAAAGAGAACACCTGTAGCACTCAAAGCAGACATTCAGTAGTGGGGAGGTTAATTAAGAGAAGGGGAAGCAAAAAGGTGAGAAGGTATTAGCAGCTCTCAGCAGATTGAACTTGAGCGGTAAAGTGAAGTTCGTGAGTGAACACAGGGGGCAAGCCTGTCAACGCGACAATGGTTTAACAACTTCTGGACACCTGTTCTTCTGAACCAAAGAGCACTTTTGAAAGAAGTGTGATCTATCTTTTCAGGTGAGAACTGATCAAATGCTCCTTTTTGTGTTTTGAAGTTAATTTTGTTTGTGAACTGCATTTGTTCTTCAAGTATTTCTTCAAGATACTTTTTTTTTTTTTTTTTTTTTACATATACAAGAACATTAGACTTCACATTCTTAATTTGGCTGATTTTGTTAAAAAATGCATGAGATTTTTTTAAATCTTAATTTTAATGAATAAAACTAATTGAATTTAACAAAATAAAATGAAACTGAAATAAAATTTATAAAAAACACAAAAACACACAACAAAATGACTAAAACGTACTAACTGACATTGAAATGAAAATGGAAAATATAAAAATGAATACTAAATCAAAACATTTAATAAAATCTACACTATCTCAATGATAATAAAATAATAACACTGTTGTTAACCATTTCAAAATGAACAATGAAATTAACAAACATAGGCTATGAGTATAGTTTTGAACACAGATGAGTGGAATGTGAACTTGTGTTACAGGGCCTGTTACGAACAAATGATCTAGTGAAGGCCTCTTCTGAGAGGCTGTAGGCTACATGGGAAACTTGACATGCCATGTTATAGGTCCAGAGAGAGAAGTAACATTCAGCACACAAACGGCAGCAGTATGATGTCCAGGCCTAGACTTGCAGGCAAACTTGACACCCTCCATGACTGCTCTGAATACGGCAGGGCCTGGCTGCCCTTGAGTTAACCTCTCCTCTCCTCAAACATTTGTATCACCGGGAAGGCTTTGAATTTGGTTAGTGATTTCCTAGGTTTAGACAGGCACAGTGATCTCCCTGTGATCTCTGAGGTTCTTTACTGCTGCTCAGTCACACAAGGAGGAAAACAAAGTAACTTATTATCTAGCTCTAAGGATATACTCCTTAGTATCAGAACGTCTTGAAGGTCAGGTGACTTTCAAGAATCTGCTGCAAATTTTTGTAAAAAAATAAATGATTGTAAAAGTATTTAAGATAAGAAAGAATAAATAAATATTGTTATTTTTTAAATTACTTTGTATATTTCCTATGTTTTTTGTCATTTTCATCATGCACATTTATTTTTTAAATATCTTATTTATTAATTAATTTTTTTATAGCAGGTCTGAAATTTTTCATGAGTAAAATTCTGTAATGCACATCCAGCCTGGCACATTTTAGCATGCAGGCTGTGGCTCATAATTTGAAATAATCAAGCCATAATCAATAGGCAAGAACAATAAAACCATTAAATGAACCTTCACACCACCCTAGCTGAGGAAAGCACCTGACTCTCCTCGGATTAAACCTTACAGTCATTTTCAGAGTGCAATAAGATCTCCTCTACAAATATCTACAGTCTACTTGGCCACAATAAACTAAGTGCAATTAAGGTGAAAGAGTAGTAGCTGCTTCTTAAAGTGACTGAATCCTGTCATTATGTAATTTCAGTCTCTGTTACCCCATAACATGGCTGTATTCCCTTGTGCTGAAAATACCCCCTTATTTTGTAATGGGCAAACATTGTGCCATTACCTGAAAATGTTTTATGTGTTGCATTAAGGCTGTTGTTGTTTTTGTCGCTGAGCCTTTATTGCAGGGTTTTCAGCAATGACCCCCAAATATGAAGAAATCCTTGGGCCATCTCTGCAGCGATATTTTTACTGTATGAGGCTTATTTATACCGTGTGAGAAAAAAATAGTAAGAAAGTGGTGAAAATAGTAAGAATGTTGTTTTACTTTGTAAAAACATACTTTAAAGTTAACTGGCTTTTAATACTGCCATTTTATTAAGGCCAAAAATATATATTTAAAAAAAACAATTCTACCCAGATAATGCCAGATGTATAAACCTTCAATTCAATTTTAAATTATTTTTTTTCATATTGCATTTTACTCAATAAATATTGTTCAAAAATAAGTTTTTGCAAAGAATATTGCCTTACAATCCCCAAAGAGCAATATATGCCTGAAAGATACAAAGTACAAACGATTCTTTTAAATACAATGCTTTCGAAATTATGTAGTTTTTGCAAGAAATATTTACACTTACATAACATATATAAACAAATAAATATTTAGATTGTTTTTGTTGATTTACATTGTTTTATTGATGGCCATGGGTCACAAAAGTCCACCAAAATGCTTTTTATTGAAACTCATCTAATATTTTTGGCCTGACAACTAGATCTACATCCAATTTCTTTATCTTTCCGAAAAGGAAATGCATCCGCAAGTCAGAAAGAAGCTTTGTCACGTTTGCCATAAAAAGAGTATACACCTGGCAACATTGCCTTGTTTCTTGCATGAACCCTCTATAACAGAGCAATATTCTACCAGAAAGTTTAAAGTATATTGGGTGGCAACTGCCAAGTGAAGGGTGTGTTTACTAGAGCCTTCTAAAGATCACTTCGGATCTGATACTCAAAATCTTATCGCACACCAGTGCTATAAAACCTGCTGCATTCGCTGGACGAACAATCACATGTTCATTGATACACTCCATTTAATGATGACTATGACAATGTTGCTAAGGGACCATATGACACACCCTAGTGTGGTACCAGTCATACACATTATTATTACCAGTATGCAGGTGTGTCACTGGAGTCTCCAGTGTTTACACTGGCTGCTATCACATGGGTAAATCATTGTACATGCTTTGTGATGTGTACAATAGCTATACACTGTCTGTCCAATATTACATAATAAATGATACTCTATCGGAGTGCGACGTAATACAAAGTTATCCATCAAGGCGATGTTCAAGTGTCTTGGTTCATGCAATGTTATTTTGGTGCATCTCAGATCTCAGGGGAGTGTCAGGGGATCCAGTGGTGCTGTTCATTAATTAAACAGCTGAGCAGCAGAGTCAGGTGTCCTCTTGTTATTCTAATCTAATCATTGGATGAGGAGACACACATATGACCTCACAGAGGACTAGTCTTGATGATTAGAATGTGCTAAAGTACGCAAATAAGCCTGCTTTTTGTATCCATAAAAGCACATCCAAAGGGCAAAAACTGTGTGTGTTGGTGATATGGATGGAGAATTAAGCAGCTTGCAGACTCACTGTTAAATTATGATGAGTTGGATTCTATATTTTGAAACATTACTCAGTAACTTTAATCTCTAGCTACCTAACAAATCTGCATTCGTGTGACAGGCCTTGTTTGCTGTCTTCCCTTCACACCTGTCATGGCCGACCCTGCGTGGTGGAAGCTCACCTTCTTGAGGAAAAAGAAGTCAGAGTCGAAGGTCCAGTATGAAATACCACCCGATTTCAGCACCAACAGTGCGAATAAAGACCTGGGCAACGATGATGCAGACAGCAATTTAGATGCCAGACTGGAAAAAATTGTGGATAAATCTAACGCCAAGGGCCGTCATGTCAAAGTGTCCCATTCTGGGCGGTTTAAGGAGAAGAAAAAGATTCGCGCGACTCTGGCGGAAAACCCAAGCCTTTTCCCCGAACCTGCTCGGACTGACAAGAGCCATGTGGAAAAATAACACCCAGACAAAGCACATCGTTAGATGCACAAACTAATTTTTACTCATTCTTCTTTGAAAGGCTGCATGTTGATCGGAGTTACGACTGACGCAGCAAAGATACTGGAACAGAAAATTATTATTTTTACCGGCCGTACTTTAATTGAAAAGCAACCCCGAGATGATTATTAAGGAGTGAATGTTTCCTGTAAATCATAAACACAATATTGTCATGCTCATAAAATGCGTTATTATCACAGTGGGAAAAACATGACAAGAAAGGCATAAAAACCTTAACTCTTCCAACTCTAATTTATAAATCACACAATCCGTTCAGTTTTAAATTTCATGTGGAGAGTGGTCATAAATATTTAAATTATTGTGTAATAACTAATCTCAAACCTGTGGGAGACAGACTGTTGATCAGATTTGCAATTTTATGTGCCCTTTTGATAAGCACTTGATCGCATGTTTTTTATGTTGTTTGTGGTTGGACAACTCAGTTGTGCATAGGATTTTATCTCTGATTTTATCATTTACCATAAAAAGGGTTTAAATTAGGGCATGGAGAGTCAAAGTCACAGCATGTTAGAGATAAGTTCACCAACTACCTCTACAGCTGTAATTTGCCTTGTTTAATCTGTACTTGCCAATTGTTTACTGCAGTCTTTAAGGGTTATTGTTAAAATATGCAAAATAAAGACTTTTATTGCATTGCTTAGATGTGTTAAAGGTGACATATCATGAAAATCTGACTTTTCCAGGTTTTAAGTGCTATAATCAGGTCCCCGGTGCATCTACCAACCAAGGAAACGTGAAAAAGATTAATCCAGTAACTTTGTTTCGGTAAGCCTTTTTCTGCAAGCGTCTGAGAAAATGAGCGCGTCTGATTTCGCTCCCTTGGTGTCGTGGCAAAGGGATCTCATTATAATATTACCGCCCCTCAATCTGTAAACTTCCACTCAAGGCGCCTTCATTTTGATTTAGCAAGTGACAATGGTGTACCAGTTCTAATGCCATGGCGAACGTTTGAGCAAAACATGCAAACTGTTCTGTCTTTGGCTGCACAGACGAGCACAGAACACTATTTAGAGTCCCAGCCTTAGAGGACACAAGACAGCAGTGGATTTATTGATTTATTTACTGTATATTGCTGCTGCCACACAGTTCTAAAATAAACATGCAATGTATTTCCCAGTGGTTTACCTTCACAGACTTAACCGACTGTTTTTGTAACTTGTGTGTGTTTTTAACGTAAACTTGTGTGTGAAAGAGAACTTAGTTTAGTACACACATGCTGTGACAGCCGCTTTCTGTCCGTGTGCTTCGGTTGTGTGCGCTCAGAAAACCGTATATCAGAAGTGTAAACTCATATGGTTTAAAACGTATGATTTCAGCGCGATAAACATGATAATCAGAACCAAAACAGATGGTTTTAGCAGGTCCGAGCTGTAATGGCGCAGCTCTATTCTGGAAAAGGAGGCGGGGAGCAGCAGCTTATTTGCATTTAAAGAGACAGACCCTAAAAACAGCGTGTTTCTGCTTCCATTCAAAATAGGCATTTTCAAAATGTTATAATAAATCGGTGTTTCTCAACCCTGGTCCTGGGCGCCCCCCAACACTGCACATTTTGTATGTCTCCCTTATCTGACACACCCATTTCAGGTCCTGGAGTTTCTTCTAATGAGCTCATGAGTTGTATCAGGTGTGTTTGACTAGGGAGACAAACAAAATGTGCAGAGCTGGGGGGCGCCCAGGACCAGGGTTGAGAAACACTGTAATAAATGATCTGTGGAGTATTTTTTTTGAGCTGGAACTTCACAGACACATTCTGTGGACACCGGAGACTTATATTACATATTGTAAAAAGGGGCATAATATGTCTCCTTTAAATTGTGGAGAAGTACAAAAAGCAAAGAGCACAAGTTATTTGGATGCCACTGCCATCTGCTGGCAAAAAAAACAATGATCATTGCTGCAAAATTTAAACAGTTTACTACCTTGTTTTACATGTACAGAAAGTCACTTATTCATTACAGAATTACAGTCAAATAGACAATGATTTTAAGTCAACATTAAGTTTGGCACATTTACAACAGCAATCTAATAAAAATATTTCACATTTGTCTTGCAGAATATTTGCTGTATCATGAACACATTTACAGATGAGCAAAACAACAAACAGAGCAACAAGTTATTGTTGTGACAGAAGTCCAAAGTCTATGTTCTCTGAAACTATAATTGAGGCTGCAAGTACAGCTGTGCTTTTTTTTTTTAATTATTAATAAACATTAGGCAGTCAACAGACTTTGCACCTACAAGTAATAGATTAAGAATGTGTTGAGGTCAGTTTTTCAAGGCTTAAAAATGCTGCAAAGAAGCACCATTTGTAATGCAACATGATTTGTATATTCATAAAATCATGTATACAGTTATCTACAAATAATAACTCCCTTCTTGTTTTGGTTAAGAGAATATGAATGCAGGATGAATATGGAGGGATAAGTCTTTACTAGTCAGTTAATGCCCTGATGGCATTATTAGTGACAGTCGCTGCCAACTAATGATGATGTATTGATGTCACAGACGGTGATGCTGACTTCACAGCATGCTCTCTATTAGGGGGATAAGCGTTGGTATATCCAGCCTCCCTCAGCTTGATGCTGCATATCCCCCAGCTCAGTCTCTTCCTCTTTTGGCCGCAAAAAGACTATTCGGTCATGTAATCTATTAGTCTGACCCTGCCAGAACTCAATCAGGTGGGGTTTTACAATGTATCCACCCCTGCAGAAAAAATATATATCCATAAAAATAAACTAAACTAAAATATAACTCTCTAAATACAAACACAGGCAGGGATTTAATATTAATAAACAAAGATTACTCACCAGTAATCTGGCAATGGTACATTTGTGTCCTTATACTTTTCCTCAAGCTCTGCATTCTTGTCTCTCAGGTACTTTAAGGGGTACACACAACAATTTATCAATAAAACAGGTCTCCAGGTGCCCCAAACCAGGAAAATAATTAGGACTAATAGTCAAGTCACCTTTATTTATATAGCGCTTTTAACAAAACAGATTGTGTCAAAGCAACTGTACAGCATTAATTAGGAAAATAGTGTGTCAACAATGCAAAATGACAATAGTAAACACTCATTTTTCAGTTAAAGGCAGTTCATCATTGAATTCAGTGATGTCATCCAGCACAGTTCAGTTTAAATAGTATCTTTGCAATCATTTGCAATCAAGTCGACGATATCGCTGGAAATTAAGTGTCCCCAACTAAGCAAGCCAGAGGCGAATAATAGTGTATAATTATCATTATGAATGTTTAGTTGAATGCTAAAGCAGATGGTGGCTGTGTTAACGGCATATTATTCATATACTATTATAGCTTTTATGAATAATTTGAGTTAGCTTTTATTTTTATATTTTCAGTTCTTATTTTAATAATAGTTTCATTTGTAGTCATTTTGTTATGTGTGAATTTTATTCGTTTTTTTAGGTGTTTTGATTAGTTTTATATATATATATATATATATATAATTTTATTTCAGCTTTATTTCAGTTAACACATATTTTCCATAGTTTTAATGAATGATAATAACCCGGGATGGTGGTGATAGTGCTACTCACTTGTCGGCTTGGTATTACTGTGCTCTGCCTGCTAACAACAGCACCGATCTGACTGCTCTTGGGTCTTGAGTGGAAATAATCACATGAAATCTCGTACGGGATTCTCTCTACAGTGCCTTCAATGCGAATCTGTTAGGATACAAAACAAAAAAATACAATGGGGTCAAAAACTACATACAAAATGTGTTACATTTTTTGTCATTTAAACTTTGAAATATGGATAAGATTAAAACAAAACCAAAGTGAAATATTCTATGATATGATATACAAAGAATTAGCTGGAGAAGATTCTGAGTTCTAAAAAAACCCCCACACAACACTTACCTGTCTGTTTAATGGTTCCCAGTAAAATACAAGACAGGCGTGGGGATTGCAGTCCTATATGATTGCGAAAACAAAAAATAAATAAAATAAAACGTGAGAAAGACAAAGATGCAAAGGTAAACCCATATGGCCATTTACTGAACAAAATTTGGTTTTAAAGACTCACCAACTCTGCACCTTTCCGACTCTCATAGTTGGAAAAGAAGCGAAATCCCTCCTCGCTGTAGCCTTTTAGAAGAACCATGCGTGCAGAGGGGCGACCGTCCCTTTAGAGAAGACAAGAAGGGCCAATTTTGACCAAATTTCAAAAGCATATTAAGTATGTATATGCATTGTATTTAAGTTGCTCTGTTTATTTCCAGGTATTGATGAACCACACAACATCCATTCTTACTTGGTCGCTGTTGCAAGACACATTGCATTGGCTTCTCCCACCTCAGGGCACTTAGTGGCTTGATCAAACCAGCTGCCGAATTGTTTAATTGGATCTAAAGAAGTAAGCTGATCCTCCTCAAAACACTGTAGGATGAAAATGAGGGATAGCACATGTACACATTTATCTTATGTTCTTTTAAAATTTCACAGCTTACTGCTGTGACATATATGGCAAAGTAGGTTTAAAGACCCCATATCTGTACTAGTAGTGTCCTTTACTGTGTTGTTACTGCATTTAGCCAATACGATCTTTAAAGAGATATTTACCAAATTTGCTATTACTGTAACACTAACCCATGCATAACTGGCATAAAAGCATATTTAATGGTCTCATTTGACTGCTTTAGACATGACCTGTCAGTGGCAGCTCCTGCCAGCCAGTTGAAGATTGAACCCCCACTCGTGTTGTTACTGCATTTAGCCAATACGATCTTTAAAGAGATATTTACCAAATTTGCTATTACTGTAACACTAACCCATGCATAACTGGCATAAAAGCATATTTAATGGTCAAAGGCTCTCTCATAATTGTGTTGACTCTTTTCATTTCATCTTAATTAGTAAGTGATTGATCAAGGTCAACTGATGCATGCATTATTTTTTTTACTTTTTTGAAAATGCATTTGATAAACACGCAAGTCAGTTGCAGATCATAAATAAAATGCCCAATATTTCAGAATCACATTGATAAGGTTTTATACATTAATACAGAAAATGACGACTCTGCATATCTAGCTTTTTGATGTAAAAAATCATGATATGATACTCTGCATAATATGCCTTTTGAAAAGGGTCTCAGGTCATACACCTGACATAAAATCCCTCACAACCAAAAACGCGTCTCACCTCCTGATCGCTCTTATAGCTCTTTCTCATGTTACTCAGATCCATGTTGGTGCCGCTGTCCGTAAATTTCCTGCAGAAAAACGAGGTAAATGACGGAGTACTGCGGATTGTCAAGGTAACACTGGGCTCAATAAACTTCACAATATTGCCGATGTTCCTGGACGTGAAGAAGCGCGATAGACATCTCATGCCTGCAACTCCAAACCTGCGTCATCACGTTCGTGCTCTTACGTAAAGTGTTATGAAAACGTATTCGGTTTTGTAACTAACCTCTAATTTTGGAATGAACTAAATATAAAAAATGAATACGTTAGTAAATTAATCAATAGCTTTATTTTCAATAATTAATTAAAAAAATTTTTTTTAATTACCTTAATATGAACGACAACATTTAAACATAAAATGTAATTTTTTTTTACAACTTTCAAAATTAAAACAACCCCCCAAAAAATAAAAAAAAATAAAAAAAAGAATTTGGGGGGTATTTTTCTTTTAACTTTTAATTTATTATTATTTTTTTTAAACATAACAACGGACTTTTATTTTGTAAGCACGATACAACAAAAATGTCCCACGTCAAATCCGGATCAAGATGGCAGCGACCGTGTGTAGCAGGCTTCTCCCAAAATCGGGTACGATTCTGGTTTGATATGATAGCGAAACATATTATAAACGAATAACATAAATAAGCAAATACCTGCCATTTACATTTAAACTATGAACTCCATTGTAAAATTGCATGCACCTGAAAGTCACTATGAAACTATATTGTGGAACTGGACAGCATGATCATCATCTCTCATATTTGAGGTGCTTGGCAATGTATGTTCAACTCTTCTCTGTTTACTTAATGTTGATTGGTTTATCTCTTCATATGATATTCATATCATTCTGTTATCCATGTATGCATGCTGCCGCTTTGGATTTTCGGCAAACCCCTGTATTTATTTTCATGATTAAAACACCACATATGATGTTCTCATGACATTAGTGAATCATTTGTTGCAAATATTTATCATGTCATTGTCAACCTACAGGATGGCTGCCATTAAGCCAGATTAATCGGATCCAAAGCTGTCACTCGTCACAGAAAGCCAGTGCACTTTCTCAAGCAGAAGCTGATGGCTGTCACAGAGTACATTCCCCCAACACCTGCAGCTCCTCCTGGTGCTCTGGCTCCACGAGTCAGGCAGACTGAAGAGTTCGATCATTGCTGTACTTACAGAACACTATCTTAAGTGTGTCATTTTAAGTCCCCCTTTAACAAATATATATCAAGTACAATGATAATATAAAATAATATATATTATAAAATATATATAGTGTTTTAAGTGTGTAATTCTAAGTGTTCCATTAACATACATATGTATATCTCTACTCTCTTTCCTTTTAGGAAAGTGCTCTGGCAGTTTTGTTGAGAAAAGACCTAGAAACCTTGTTTAAGGAATGTAAGATGATTGCCGTGGTTCAAAACAATGCAATCAATGCAGAGGACCTCATGGTGCTGAAACACAAACTGAAAAGGCACAATATCAGTGTCAAGTTCTTCCCAAACCAGGTAATGCCAAGTTATAGTAATGGTTACCACCACTATTGAGATGTAAGCTACTGCTGTGTGACATGTTGTTTGATTCTTTGTAGGTGACGAGGTCCTTTCTCAGCAACAGCATTTACAGTAACATGTGGCCTCTATTTGTTGGCCAGACTGTGATAATTGTTAGTAAAGAGCCAAAAGTTAAAGAGATGCTGCAAACGTTAAGGTACAGTCCTCAGATGGTGCTTTTAGGTGAGTGTCACTGTCCTATGCATGAACTTGTATATAGTTATGAAATGAAGCATTTCTGAAAATGTACTCACCCTCAGGCCATGTAAGATGTAGACGAATTTGTTTCTTCATCGGATCAGATTTGGAGAAATTTAATATTACAACACTTGATCACCAGTGAATGGGTGCCGTCAGAATGAGAGATCAAACAGTCGATAAAAACATCACAACAATCCACATGACTCCAGTTAAAGCATGCATGTTTGTAATTAAACAAATCCATCATTAGGGTGTTTTTGACTTGAAACCATTGCTTTCTGCTAAAATAGTCCACTATCTATACTATTGCTTTCTTCATTGAAAAGTGAAAAAAGTTGTCTCATCGGAATCGGGAGAGAAATAAGCACTTTTAAAACCCATACAGTCCAGCATTTTTATTTCATTTTTGGGTTAACTACTCTTTTAAAGATCTTCTAAAAATGTTGGTATTGTCTCACAGGCTTTCTGTACCATTTTCTTTCAGGTGCTTGTATAGAGAACACATTGCTTTCGTATCAAGGCATTCTCAATTACTCCAAACTTCCGTCTATGACCACTATTCAGGGTGAGCTAGTTGGTGGTCTAACCATGATGACTTCACGGACTGTCTCAATGCTACTTCACCATCCAGCTCATCTTTCTGCCCTCCTTCAGCAGTATGTCAAACAGCAAATCTTTGGGGGCTCCACAAATGCTGTTACAGATAATGATACAATAAAGGAGGCAGCAGCTTGAATTTACATGGAGGAACAGCTGTGTATGATTGAAATAAAATGTATATCATTTAAATAAAAGTTATTTAAAGTTGCTTTTTGGTCATTTTTATGTTAAAGTTGGAGGTGAATTTTGACATTTTTACTGTACATATTGTGGAGAAAAATGTTGTTCAAATGTTGCTGAAAAATAGGCTATTTAATGGCAGGTTCCATTGTGACAACTCATCCCATAGCTTGGCACAATATGTCAATGTGCTTATTGAACTGCATCATTTTTTTCTTCAGCATTAATGGTGAAAGTGCAACAGTTTTTTTCTAGTCAAGTCTTCAAGGTATATACAGAAATTGTCAATTCATATTAATAGGCACATTGTCAATATTTATGCCAGGGGTCTCCAACCCTGCTCCCTTCTCTCAGCTGCTTCCTGCAGACTTCAGTTCCAATCCTGCTCCAACACACCTGCCTGTAATTTTCAGGTAACCCTGAACTCTTTGATTAGCTGGTTCTGGTGTGTTTGTTTAGGGCTGGAGTTAAACTCTGCAGGATGGTAGCTCTCCAGGAGTGAGGCTGGAGACCCTGATTTATGACCTTTTGCATATTTAAAGAAATGAAAGTGTATTTGAACTGATAACTTGAAGTTAAAAAGCCAGAAGAAACATTTGTACTGCCAAAATAAACACAAGCTAGTGGTCACGGATCCTGATTAGTTATAATCTCTGGATTACTTCATGTTAATCTAGGTCAGTTAGTCCTTTATGGTTACAACTCTGGGTTCAGTGTAGAAGTGTCTCTGCTCTTCATATTTTGACACCACTGTCATTTTAGGCCAGTTTTACAATTATGTATGATCATCTTTCAAGAAAATCGTGTGACGAAACTCACTATAAATAAAACAAATGTGCTCTGTGTGTGGTAATACATGAATTAACCAACACGGGGTTACCCACTTGAAAATGAGTACATTTGGAGGTTATCCCATCTGAGTAAACAGGTCATGGCAGAGCAACTCAATAGTTTCAGATTTAATGCATCAGAATGGCTGGCTATCAGTGAAGTTCCTCCTACATGCCTCTAATTCCAACAGCTTTTAAGACACTAATGCGGATTATGATTTGGCTGCAGCCTTGGGTGGATTTGGAGGATGTTCAGTCACCAGGGGAGGATAGTTGGGAGCTGTCCGTCATATATCGTTCTGGTATGCACATGGAATATCAGCATTCTTGCATTTTTAGTAGAAAGTGGTTGAACTGGTTTCCTGTTCTGTGAGTAGAGTGACGCACGGTTGTACAAATGGGGGAACATGAAACTCGGGCGCTTGGAGAGAGTCACTCAGAGATACACCACACTCTGGCCAAGAGCAGGAACCTCAGGTAAGACCTTGAGTTACAATACTTAAAGAAACATTGTGGTTTCAAATGCTGGTAGCAGTAGTCAGTAGAAGTATATGTTTGAATTGGATTTATGTATACTGTTTGGAAACGTGGTGTGTATGAAAAACAGCCTTTATCAAGTGCATGGTGAACCTAACTGGAGAAGTAACTCTTAAACACAAGCCCAAATTGACTATAACTATGAAAGTATTTCAATTGTTCAAGCATGACAATTTTAAATCACATCCAAGAGCTACATTTCTTAGACTGACATGCATTTATTGGCATTGGCAGCATGTGATCATGTGGTGATTTGTAAGAGTGTAGGCTATACAATACAGTTTTCTGTTTTGTAGAGTTCATCATATATGTCATTTTAAATGTTTACACTGTCTTAGTTACAAAGAGCAAGTCTTTAGTTAGCTACACTATTTTGTTTTTCAACACACTTGATGATACTTCACACGAAGAGGAATGACTACTTCTAACCACACCTTTTTTAACAATTATTATACTTTCTAAAATCATGTTCAGTTCTTATAATTTACAGTGAAATCTACAATTAAATAAAATGAAGGACTCTTAACGTCTGATCTTTCTATGGTATTATGATTATTCAAACGTGTACGTCACACTGTTTTCCTGATGCTATACATCATATTTACCGTGTGACCTGTCAGCATGCTCACGGTGAAAAGCTATTCAAGCTAAGGGCTGCTAAAAAGGGATATTCAAAGCCAATTATCGTAATGACGCTAAGCCTCTCCCGCAGGGATCGTTACCTTTGTGAGGTTATCCATATTGCTACAGTGCATATTCTGCCTTCCATAAAAAAGGATATGTAAAACAATTAAAAAATTACATATCAAGACTGATCATTTTTGGTAATGACTGAATAATTCCAATTACTTTTACTAATTATGTAATCAAATAGTTAATTACTCAACTGCAAATTAAGCTGTTTACAAAAGATCTCATTTACCCTCATTCTAGTTTAATGGGCATGTATGTGCTTGTCAGAGTTGTCAGGACAACAGGAGATTCTAGAAAACATGTTTGGTTTCTGTCACACTCCCTCTGATGACATTCCATTCAGCTTATATGTAGAAAAAGGAATTTTTCGATAATCTCTCAGTATGTGATTAAGGATATATACAGTACAGCAATAAAGGTGTTTCCTTGGTCCATAACTTCTGGTTTTAGCACCATTTAGATTATGTAATTATGAGTGTATTATTTTGGTTTCTTTGCTTTGCATTACTGTATGCTCTTGTGTTTCATATTAAGCCATTTGAAAGGTGTTTATGAGATGATGAACCAGTGTGATC